GCGGGTGTGGGCGGGTGTGGGCGGGTGTGTGTGTGTGTGTTGTGTGTTGGTGTGGGCGGGTGTGTGTGAGGTGAGGGGTGTCTGTGTGTGTAGGGACATGTGTATGTGCGCTTGTGTGTAGGTGTTGACGTGTGTGTGTTATGCCGTCGCGCCCGTCGATTTTCCTGCGGTGATTTTCGAGGAGCTGCTTTTGTGTATCCGCGGGGTGACCGCGTCTCGTCGCCTCCCACCTCAGGGGCGTGGGGCGGTGAAGGCGCGGCTGCTCGCGGCCGCATCTGAGCCTCCCTTCTCTTCGTGTGCCAGGGTATTTGTCGCTGGCCGGTCGATCTGCGCTGTCTGTCTGAGTACTGGATGAATGCGGTAGGGGCATCCGATTTCTTCTTGAGGAAGTAAGTCTGCAGCCACCTTGATGCATCGTCGACCACCACCATCAGATACCTGTATCCTCTCTCGCTTGGCTGCTTGATCTGTGACAGGTCGACGTGGATGAGATCAGCCGGGTGTTGATGTCGATACGCATCTCCTGCATACGGCAGTCGCTTCATCTTGGCCTTCAAACACACTTCACACTTAGTCTTCTCGTCGCCATTGTTGTTCTCCTTCTTTGTCGTTGGTGCGTGTCTTGTCACTTCAGGTAGTTTCTTGAGATGTCCATCATTGACGTGGGCAAATCGCTGATGCAGTCGCTCTTGTGTGATGACTTCCGCGACCAACACGTCTGCTGTCATCACATCCGTCGGTTCTTCATTGTCATCGTCCACCGATGGTGTGTGCTGCTGCTCTATGACGTCAACCATTCGCTCATCGGTCGCATTCGGGCAGTCGGACGGGTCCCTGTAGATGTTGAGGTACCAGAATCGCCCTTCTCACATCAGTGGGTACATATCTCCTCTCTTTGCCTTCAGGAATGCAGCGCCATGATCAATCTCGAGCTTGATGTTGTAATCGTCGATAAGGTGAGCAAGAGAAAGCAGGTTGAACTTGAGCTTGGGCACATACAGCACGTTGTCCACCATGACGTTCTTCTTGCCTTTGGTGATCTCTCCACAGGTGAACTTGATGCAGCCGACACCCATTGCTGATGCGGTTGACCCATTCGCCATAATGACGTTAATGTCGTGGTCGAGTGTCTTGATCTCGTCGAAGAGCTGCTCCTTAAAACAGCATGGCGCATGAGTCAGCATCCCGTGCGTATCGTGGAGAAGCACTGACCTGGCCGCAATTTGAAGAAGCTCTTCGCAACGCAAATGACCGCATGAAACAGCTACGAAGAGAGCAGCGAGACCGTCAACATCAGCAGAGGGGCCGTCCATCTGGAAGACAACATGACCGTCAAGACCAGCGTAGTCAGCATGATGATGAGAGGAAGGGATGGACCGACAGACGACCTGACAACAGGACAACAACACCAACAGGAAAAATGGCAATGGATGGAGGAACCAGCCGAGCAACACCAACAGACAGAGCAGCAACTACTAGCGACCTGCCTCATCCACTTATGCCCAATCCTCTCAGCGCATCTGGCACACTGGCGGACAGCAGCAGGGAGGAGGGCAGCAGCAGCAAACATGGCGCCCTACAGAACGACGAGATAAGGATGGCGATGTCACTATGAACAACACCCGAGCACGAGCCAACGACAGACGGAACGACCGACGTCCCAATCGCCAATACGCCAACCAATTCGACGTCTACGAAGAGGAAGAACAACAGCAACAAGGAAATGAGGACTTTGCCACGATTGGAGCAGTCGAGATAGAAGAACTGGCTGATGAGGTGGTGCACGTGAATGGTGTGTGTTCATCCTCACCTACGGCAATGATGATGGACACTGCTTGAACATGTCGAATCTCTCAGGCAATGCCGACAGCATGACGGCGATCATCGTCTCGTCTGGCACTGTTGATCCAACTTCATGAAGACGGCTGACGAGATAGCTGAAGTCGCCAAGGGCGTCGTCGAGATCGTCCTTGATCATCTTCCAGCTGAAGAATCGCTGCAAGAGCTCGTGCTTGCATACGATACGATCAGGTATGAACCGCTTCCGCAGCTCTAGATACGCCCATGCACCATTCTCGCCGTGCTTCTGGTATGCTTCTTGAATCAGTCGCTTGGCCTTGTCTGCTGTCTGCAGGGCGAGGAAGCTGAACAGCCATCGAAGGTTCTTGGCGCTGGAGCTCTCCTGCTCAATCAGGATTGGCTGTCCCTGCTGGTTCACCACGGGCTGATTGTTGCCATCCATCCATCTGCGGCACTGCTATCTTCATCGGTGGGACGTCCTCATCCTTAGTAGGTAGATAGACTTTCACATCCATCTCTCTTGCTGCTAAGTAGGCTCTGAGAGTAAAGTCCCATTCGCGCCACTTGATGTCGTTCTCGCCACTCCTGCCGGTAAAGACGGGGAAGGTGGCCTTTGTCTCGAGATTGAAGGTCATCTCTGCTGTCTGCTTTGTTGATATAGTTGTTGTCTTTCTTCAGGTACTGCTAGTCGTTGACTGCTGCTGATACTGCGCAAGACACTGATAGACCTGTTAGGATCTGTCAGTCGGCTGGCAAGGGCTTCGGCTCAGATAAGCAAGAACCAAGTTGCTGCGCCCATGTGCGAAAAGGCCGGTGAGGACCTCTCCTATAGTTAGCTGAATAGAGGATCTGCTGGGCGGTAAGTCCCAGAGTAAAGAGTGCTTTTACTTCAGCAAGACCGATGGACCAGCCAGTTAATCAAAGGTGTTTCTGTCCATGTATGACATCATGAAGGGTGGTCAACACAGATCTGACTTCGGTGATGGCTGATAAGATCGTGTCTCCTTAGACTGCTTTCCTTGTCTTTCCTTATCTTCTCCTCACTCCATCTCTCTCGCTCCGTTACACGGTAAGCTACCCTAACTCACAAGCTCGCAGTGGTTCGTCTTGCCAAGTTGGCATTCCTGACAGCGAGCATCCTGAAGGCCATCCTGCTGATATGCCTGCAGTCTGTGCTGACCATCTTTGGGTCACTCTGCTGCCGCAGATATCAGCTACCTACTTGGATGTCGTTTTCTTTTGCTTGCCTGATAGTGGGTGGCGCCTTTGGTTCTAGTTTTTACTTACCTGTTATCGGCGCATTTGCGTGTGCCCTTTTCGCTCTTTTTCTTGCCTATACGGTCACTGATAGTGGGCTTTTGACTAGCTCTGTCTCCCGCTCTTGACCGCATCCGTACCAGGATCTGTAGCTTTGAATACAAAATCCGTACACACGGCCCATGGTGATGTATGCGACCTTGATCCTCTTTCGGCGTGAGCCGCAACACGCATTCCAATGCGATTGAAACGATAATCAAAATGCAAAAAGGCATGCATTTCCAAGTGGCGTGAATTGGACTGCAATTCTCGACGAAATGAAATCAACGCAAGAAATGGGAAATCCTCTGCACAGGGTCGCACCGCCCCGGCCATTACGGTTTGCCCCGAGCTTGATACATTTGCGCTGGAAGCCTTCTCTTATCAGTTGTTCTGGTACATCTTGTGTGTTCCTCTTCGGTATTTTCTGCCCCTCCCTTGGATCGATACCGTCCTCCTCAATGTCCCATGTCTTGTCTTGATTGTCTTCCTTATGCTACGGTGGCTGATCGTCATCATCACGTATGTCTTCAATTGCCTGTAAAGGCTCCACGGCTGCGTCAGGCTCTGTGAGTAGATGATACAACAAGGCGCCCACGTCATCATGATTGAGTTGGTGATTTCTCGGCTGTTTCTCCTCCTTTTCGGATGAGCGAGCGTGTATCGGACTACACCCAAGCCCCTCGACCTACCCTCATCCCGCGAGACGGCGGCGGGCCCCCCTGTTGCGCATGCAACGAGAAAGGGACGTCTGCGCTGTCCACATGCAGCCGACGATGTGACTGCCGGAATCACAAGCGCCTCTGCACTAACT